TTTTGAGATGGCATTCCGCTCTTGTTGCCCAGGCTGGAGTGTAATGGAGTGATCTCAGCTCCCTACAACCTCTGCCTTCTGGGTTCAAGTGATTCTCCTACCTCAGCCTCCTGAGTAGCTGGGATTACAGGGGTATGCCACCAGGCCCAGCTAATTTTGGGGGCATTATTTGTAGAGACAGAGTTTCACCATGTTGCCCAGGCTGGTCTTGAACTCCTGACCTCAGGTAATCCACTTGCCTCAGCCTCCTAAAATGCCGAGATTACAGGCATGAGCCACCACACCTGGCCTGTACTAGACACACTTCAAATGGTCAATAGCCACATGTGGCTAGTGGCTACTGTATTGAACAGAACAGTTCTAAAGATTCCTCAAGGTGTACATTCTTGTGGTTCCCTCACTCCAAATTCTTGCCAGTATCAAAGTCTTGGTCTCCTCCTGTGAGTGCTGTGCCTTTTTCATTGCTTCATCTCACACATCTTTCCTCTCTCTGCTTTTCCGTAGTACCACTACCCCAAGGCAGCTGTTTTCAGCAGACTTTGTTGAAGATCTGGGATAATGGTGGGAGGCTACAGCACAGAATAGGCAGCAACTGCCCTCCTATTCTCAGGCCATCTCCAGCAGGAGACGTTTCTCATTAGCTAGAGCCTTTTCTTTTCTTTTTGTTTTTCTTTTCTTCCTTCCTTTTCTTTCCTACTCATTCCATTCTATTCCTTTCGTTTTTTCTTTTTTCCTTTTCTTTCTTATTCCTTTCTTTCATTATTTCATTTCATTCTTTCAATCCAGTGCAGTTTTAGGTTTACGGGAAAATTGATGAGAAAGTACAAGCCAGGGCCATTTTTCAGACTTACTCTGAACTTATCTGTACCATCTTGCCAGGGCTTGCTCTCTCTACAAAGACCCTTCTCTCTCCATCCTGATCAGATCAGGACTCTGAATTTCCTTAGGGTCTTTACTTTTTATAAGTCCCAGCAGAAATAGCAGTCTTTTCCCTGAGGAATGCTGTCTTCCTCCTAGCCCAAGTAACCGATTGCAGCCAAATCCTAAAACATTTTCTTCCTGTTTCACCTACAGTTGCGATGTTCAGGTAGTGAGCTGATGTCCTGTGACAGAAGATTTTGGGTGGGGAGTATGTGCCAGAACAAGCCTGGGCTTTTGGTCAAGACCTGGCTGAGTGCACACGAGGTACACTCCACTTCTGACTGTGACCTTGAGTCCAGCCAAGCTTTCTCCCTGGAATTCCCTTCCCTCCCTCCCACTTGGCTCTCCTTCACACATATACATTTTCTTTCTTTTCTTTTTTTTTTTTTTTTTTTTTTTT